CATCTGAGGAGTTCAAACACGTACAATTCCAAAACCAAAGACGATATTCCAAAACGGTTTGCTGTTCTGGAATACTTGTGTCATACCATTTCTAACGATGCCAAACTATTTCTTCCTATGACTTTTGTTACCCTAACCATAGCCCAAACCCTAAACAAAACGTGATCATTGACTTATTGCCATAGCGTCATCTGAAAACTTCAAACACGTATAATTCCAAAACCAAAGACGATATTCCAAAACGGTTTGCTGTTCTGGAATACTTGTGTCATACCCTTTCTAACGATACCAAACTTTTTTGTTCTAGAACTTTCGGTTACCCTAACCCTAACCCAAACCCTAAGCATAACATGATCATTAACTTTTCACCATAGCGTCATCTGAAAAGTCAAACACGTACGATTCCAAAACCAAAGACGATATTCCAAAACGGTTTGCTGTTCTGGAATACTTGTGTCATACCCTTTCTAACGATACCAAACTTTTTGGTTCTAGAACTTTAGGTACCCTAACCTAACCAAACCCTAAGCATAACATGATCATTAACTTTTACCATAGCGTCATCTGAAAAGTTCAAACACGTACAATTCCAAAACCAAAGACGATATTCCAAAACTGTTTGCTGTTCTGGAATACTTGTATCATACCCTCTTTACGATACCAAACTATTACTTCCTAGGACTTTCTGTTACCCTAACCCTAAACCCAAACCCAAAGCATAACATGACCATTAACGTTTTACCATAGCGTCATCTGAAAACATCAAACACGTACAATGCCAAAACAAAAGACGATATTCCATAACGGTTTGCTGTTCTGGAATAGTTGTTTCATATCCTTTCTAACGATACCAAACTATTACTTCCTAGGACTTTCTGTTACCCTTACCCTAACCCAAACCCTAAACAAAACATGATCATTAACTTATTGCCATAGCGTCATCTGAAAACATCAAACACGTACAATTCCAAAACCAAAGACGATATTCCAAAACGGTTTGCTGTTCTGGAATACTTGTGTCATACTCTTTCTAACGATACCAAACTTTTTCGTTCTAGAACTTTTCGGTTACCCTTTAAGCATAACATGATCATTAACTATTCCCCATAGGGTTATCTGTAAAGTTCAAACACATACAATTCCTAAACCAAAGACGATATTTCAAAACGGTTTGCTGTTCTAAAATTGTTGTGTCATATCATTTCTAACGATACCAAACTATTACTTCTTAGGACTTTCTGTTACCCTAACCCTAACCCAAACCCAAAGCATAACATGATCATTAACGTTTTACCATAGCGTCATCTGAAAACATCAAACACGTACAATTCCAAAACCAAAGACGATATTCCAAAACGGTTTGCTGTTCTGGAATTTTTGTGTCATACCCTTTCTAACGATACTAAACTTTTCCGTTCTAGAACTTTCGGTTACCCTAACCCTAAGCATAACATGATCATTAACGTTTTACCATAGCGTCATCTGAAAAGTTCAAACACGTACAATTCCAAAACCAAAGACGATATTCCAAAACGGTTTGCTGTTCTGGAATACTTGTCTCATACCCTTCCTAACGATACCAAACTATTTCTTCCTAGGACTTTTTGTTACCCTAACCCTAGCCCAAACCCTAAACAAAACGTGATCATTGACTTATTGCCATAGCGTCATCTGAAAACATCAAACCAAACAATTCCAAAACCAAAGACGATATTCCAAAACGGTTTGCTGTTCTGGAATAGTTGTGTCATACCCTTTCTAAAGATACCAAACTATAACTTCCTAGGACTTTCTGTTACCCTAACCCAAACTCAAAGCATAACATGATCATTAACGTTTTACCATAGCGTCATCTGAAAACATCACATACAATTCCAAAACCAAAGACGATATTCCAAAACGGTTTGCTTTTCTGGAATACTTGTGTCATACCCTTTTTAACGAAACCAAACTTTGGCTTTGTAGGACTTTCGGTTACCCTTACCCTAAACTTACCATTACACGATTATTAAATTTTTACCATAGCGTCATCTGAAAACTTCAAACACGTACAATTCCAAAACCAAAGACGATATTTCAAAACGGTTTGCTGTTCTAGAATACTTATTTCATACCCCTTTTCAACACTACCAAACTTGTTCTTCCTAGTTTCGGTTACCCTAACTAATACTTGTGCCATACCCTTTCTAACAGTACAAAATTTTTCCTTTCTAGAACATTCGGTTACCCTAACCCTTACTCAAACCCTAAGCATAACATGATTATTACCCTATTACCATAGCGTCACCTGAAAAGTTCAAACGCGTACGATTCCAAAAGAAAAGGGGATATTCCAAAACGGTTTGCTGTTTCGGAATACCTGTGTCATACCTTTTCTAACGATACCAAACTTTTTCTTTCCTAGGCTTTGGTTACCCTAAACCTATCCTAAACCGTTACATAATACGATTCTTAACTTTTTATTAAAGCGTCACCTGAAAAGTTTTAAAACGTACAATTCCAAAACCAAAGACGATATTCCAAAACGGTTTGCTGTTCTGGAATACTTATGTCATACCTTTTCTAACGATACCAAACTATTACTTCCTAGGACTTTCGGTTACCATAACTTCAACCCAAGCCTTAAACATGGTTCAAGGCTTTCCTCAGAATACTACCAACATTACAGAATGAACTTATAAAACTTAACTACTGCCCATGAAGGGGTTACTAATTATATAGACATAAAAGTTCGCGCCTAATCAATGCACCGCTGAGTATACATAGCACGACTGGGCTTGTTCTACAATGCCGTACACAGTATAGTAGCCATACCTACACAAGACTACATCACAAAGAACACAAACACTACAGGGGGCCACCCCCTCCGATGCATAACACTTAACTGCAAAACCAACATAATCAGGTCCATCTACTTTCCGAGAACTATCACAGAATGGAACGCACTACCCAAACACCTAGTAACAATCTGTTGAGACATTCAAGACGGGGTTTAGCCCAGTCTCACAGATGTTTGTCGGGTATTGCTGGTTGCCGCTATGCACAAATCGCACAAATTTATGTTCTGTTTTGTTGTCATGCACATTCTCATTCACCGCACCCCACCGGCCGCGCCCCAATAGCTGTGCACCCTGGGCGGGATGCCCTAGCTAGGATTTTGCCCAGTACCGTATAGAATAGAATGGAATACATATCTGTAGAATAGAATAGAATACATATCTTTCAGGACATAAGAATTGTTTTAGATGACTATAATCTATGCTTATTGTTTTGTTTCGGTTAAAAACATTACGTGGGCTGTTCACATTGCTTGATAGGGTCCGGGTCATGATTTCCCTACATAAAGGATGTGGTTTCAACGAATATAAGGAAAAGAAACTAGTGTAATATAGCAGTTTTATCATTAAAATGTGCCACAATGCATTCTACTATGAAAATATTAATCATCAACATCTATTATATCAAGTATAAATTGTAGTTTTTTATATTTAGAATGTTTCCAGGCATCACAGAGCGTTTTGGCAATTATTGGACCGACGACTTCGTCACAGGTGAGACATGGGGCTTATTCTGGGCTGTGCCTTTATTGTTACTAGCTAGCGTTCAGTGAACAAGGACGTGCTAATGAAATTAAAAAAAAAACATTGCCTGGTCTTTCTTGTTACAAATGGACTAAATTACCTCTACCTCAATCATTGCATCATTTTTAACATTCTAACACGAATGAAAAAAAAATTATAACTGCACACATTATGATAGCGGTCTCTCAAGAAAAAGAGAACAGAAGAGACTATAATGTGATTAACAGTGGATTAACAGTAAAAAGTTATAATGGGGGGGGGGTAAAATCATCTTTATTTCAATATACAAATATATACAAGATGACTCGTGAAGTACACCTAGGCCAGCCCTTTATCTAATTAAGAGGAGGGCGTAAGGTAAGTAAAATGTAACAAGTAACTGTTTGCATCGGACATTAAACTTTCGATTAAAATTGTATTTCAATTTAAATAGTTCTGGTACTTTGCGTTAGAATGTATTTTATTGTTCCTTGCTCTCTTTCTCTCTTTTTTCTCTATTTCTCAGTCATAAAGACATAAAGGAAAACATTATGTAACCGCGAATGGTAATGTCCTTTAACCTCTAATAGGTAAAAGCTAGCAGTCCTGTGGGCTCCGGACTGTTCTTACCCCACATCGCCCCCGAGGCGTACGACCCAACCCTGCAGAACGCCCAGCAGTACCCGCAGCTGGTCCGCATCTCCTGGCCAAACAGTGTTTTCAGCAAGACGCTTGTCGACCTGCTAGAGCATTTCAGTTGGGACCAAATGAGCGTCTTAGTCTCTGACGATGACTTCGGTAAGATCTTCGAGTCTGTTTTATTTTAACATGCAAACAATGCAAAACATAGTGGTGACGCACTCAAGTAAAATGTTTATATTCATGTCACCACTAGACATAAAATAAAAATTGCATCACAAAACATGGGTATCGTCCAGATAACAAGAGAACAGAGTTTGTTAAGATATAATAAATGAATACAGAAGTATAAATCACTTTTTAAATGGCTTAGTTTCAGAAAGATATAGCTGTGTAATGCTGAGTATTTAAGAGTAGACCTTAGATGAAAATAAAGGTGATCCATTAAGTAGCAGATACACAATAGCACTTTCGGATTGTAAAATTCTGTCGAGGAGGCGTACACGGTTTTGGGTGTATATGGGGTAGTGAAGTATAAAATCAGGAGTCCTTTCGCTTCCGAACCCGCAGCTGCAAGAAGGACTTGTAGAGAGTTTACGGTATGTTGTATGTATCCAGAGCCAAGCTATATCCAGAACCGTGCTCTGGATGGCGTATCTAGAACAGAGCCGGGACCAAACAAAAAATCTTCGTTTTTCCTGTGAATTGGATGGATGGTTGGAATGGGAGGGGGGATGTGGGGGTCCAGAAACGTACCTTATTCTAACCCAAATTATTCAAGGCATAACTAAATAGACACTGTATCTCTAAATAGAAAAAAGACCAACAAACATTCTTATTATAAATAGGAACAAACCATTAACAGTCCTTATACATGAATGGAGACTACTAAACACCAAAGCCATAAAATTTTCACAAACAATGTAATTATGTTTACCAATTAGTTTTACATATATCGAATAGTTTTACCTACTTCCTATTGTTTAATCTGCGCTTTTGGAGTCTATGATACGTTAGAACTATTTTAATCGTTGATAACCATAATACATACGCCTTTCTTTGTGTAGGCACGTATGGCTTGTTGGATTTCCAGCTCCTAGCAGGTCAGATGGGATGGCGCATTCACACCATACAGTCGTTCGACCCAGCAGAAAATGTCGCAGACACTGAAGTTCGCACACAGCTGGAAGTCATCCAAAACACAGGTACATATTACGAGGATACCGTTGTTATTACTTTAAAGAGTAGAATGCACATGTTTTAAACCAGAAAGGTGTTTATGTCCGCAAAATTGCAAGGCACTGCTTACTTGTATATAAGCCGATCAAATACTTTCTCGAAATGATTATCCAACCGATAATTTACGTCAGTCTGAAATCTTGCCTATGCAGCATACTGTTACTTAGTTTGGCTTTTCTGCTTCGTCGAATGGCTGGGAAATTTATTCTCTATATCAATTACATCTTAGGACATCTAAGTAGTTGCTTTAGCTACAAAAGCTGATTTCAAAGTAGGCCAAAACATAATAGAATAAGGTCTTACGGAAAATACTACACGAGGAAAGCGCTCGATTCCCTGGTCTTCCCGGCTAGAGCTAAAGGTTCTGTCCTTGGAAAAGTCATTTTGCACGGCTTTCCTCACTCCATCGGGAGTCCACCCTGTGTAAAATTGGTACCAGACTTTGTTTGGGGAGGTAAAAGGTGGTTTAAGGAAGGTGATGGGCAACGCCCTAGAATAATATACCCAGGACATGGTTTATTTACAGTGCAAACCCTCTATAGCTACCGGCTAAGTAATAGATAGACCATGGGCCAGGCGAGTTGACTGGGATATAGTGTTGCTCCGCCCACAAGGGGACTGCCTGACTCCCGAGGCGGTAGCCGAGGGTGTCAGGTAGTCCCCGAGTGGGTGGGCAACACTATTTCCCAGTAAACGAGCCCAAGCCCATGGTCTATCTGACTTAGAACATGGCCATTTCCCCGAAGTTATCTTTCAAACTTACTCAATATCAAAATTTGTCTTGATTTTGCTTTATAAAGCTTTGTTTAGTGTCACTTTTTGCCTGTTTCAAGAAGTTGTTTGGCTGTCCATCAGATGGACAGCCAAACAACTCCGAGAAAGCTGGTCTGTTTTGGTGATTAGCCTGCACAGAGGGGGGACCTGGTTTCAATTATACCCAAAAAGTGTGGTACTAACTGAAAAGTGTAATACTAATTTTATGCAAATGAGTTTTAGTACCACACTTTTCAGTTAGTACCACACTTTTTTGGATAGTACAACACTTTTTTGCACTATGTGGATATAGACACAGAAAATGAAGGGCTCTCATTAGCTGAGGGGTAGTGGCCATGTTCTAATAAAAAGTTATGCAGCTACCATAACTTACCTATTCTGTGTATATATCACTGTGCAGGAGCCCGTGTTATTATCCTTCACTGTCTGGCATCTTACGCGGCGGAAGTCTTACGACAAGCCAGCTCCATGGACATGACAGGAGAAGGTTGGGCCTGGGTAGTCAGCGACGGGATAACTGGATTTGTAAGTCTCAATTATACTTCCTAGGCAAAGGTATTGTTTTTGCAGCGCTAATTTATATTAGGTTTCTATATCTGTGTTCGAAAGTTAGCGGGCGGAAATTTGGTTTTGCTTGATTGACAATTGTTTGTATTCCTCGGTTTCAAACATTTGGTCATTTTTATTGTCTTGGGATGGTGGGACTACGGTCAACTGCTATGTCAACTTTGTGTATTTAAATGTGAATTGTACCTTTTTGTTGTGTTTCGCTGTTAATATAAGTCATAAACTGAGTGCAGCGTCACACTGTCCTTGTTTTGTTTTGATGTTTTGATGAATAAAAAAAAAAAACATTGGTCACCAGCAGTGTACAAAACGAACTATCGGGCGAGTTCCATTATTTAATTGCATGTCATTCGAGTAATAACGCATGCTACTACGCAATTCATTAACGCAAACTATGTTAACTTATCGAAAGTTTCATATCTCTTCTTTTTCCATTTTTTTTTGTTTGATATCATGGCTGCATTTATCTCTAAACTGGTTTCACAAAAACGATGAGGGTCATCATTCTGAAAAAGATATAATATCACATTATTAGGATGTTAATTTTCATTCTGTCCCTTTCCTAGCCACCTGTGCAGGCTCCGGGTGGGAATGATACAGCGTTTTGAAGATTTTTTAACGCGTTCTTTTAATAGCCGGCCATCCTACAACCAGTCGCAAGAGAAAGGTTCCATCCCTTTGTTTTTGCAGTGGGCGGATTGGAATCTCCTCTCGCTGCTGGTTGTAGGATGGTCGGCTATTAAAAGAACGCGTTAAAAAATCTTCAAAACGCTGATCATTCCCACCCGCCCCGGAGCCTGCACAGGAGGCTATCCTTTTTACTTCCTTTTTGTATGTTTAATAGCCGTTGCCGTACATTGTACTATGTACAATCGTCGTTCTTCTATTACAGCATCTTTTTGATACTGACAATGGGACAGCCATCGTACCAGATTACCTTCGAGGTCTGCTGGGGCCGATTCCTCCTGCTACTAACGGTGCCCGCAGTGCGGAGTTCATGGCGAAGTGGAAAGCGGCGGACCCCGCGGTGTACCCCGGGGCAGGAGGTGCAGATATCGGGGTAAGTGTAACAACTCACAGCATGTCCAAAATTATATCCAGTTGCTTGAGTAACTGCTTTTTGGCGCATCTTATTACCTGGATGTTTAACCGTTATCAAAGAAACTTACAGCATCCTTTTCATATAATGTAGGCATAAAAGATGTCTCTGATTGAGGTCAAGCCCCGTAACATACGACACACGAAGCATTCATTTTATTTATTTTCGTTTTATTTCTTTACTAAGTTCGTTCCGTTCATAGTATAGATTTGAGAAGAAATGGGTTCAACTGTTTACAGTAAATGTTATACACTCACTCACTCACTCACTCACTCACTCACTCACTCACTCACTCACTCACTCACATCACTTAATCCTCTTGCTCTTATATGTTATACAAGTCCACCCGTTTCCTCTCTTAACTGTCAACAAAAAAAGCTGTAGGTGCACCCTTGATAACTGAACTTGCTTCAGTCAAATTGCCTATCGACAGATGTTTCCACGTGATGCCCTTAGTTGCTGTTGTATCGTTTAAAGAATCCCTTGTCCGAAGACATTCACAGATGCAGACAATTACCGGATGTTCTGGAGACCCTCGGGAAGTGTTTATGATTTTCGTAAATTTCCTGGAACTGTCGAGGAATTTTTGGGATATTACACAAGTTCATGAATTCCTCCAGATACCACCCACCATCTCACACACACCCTGTCATCTCGTCATCTTCATACTTAAATTGGAACCTATCATCTGTCATTGTTTCCCAGCCATCATACAACCGAGGCTATTTAACAAGCAGACACACAAACCCAAAGCTGAACAACTAAAACATTATTTGGAGGTAAATACATGTAAGCATGTACGGAAATAGCATGTTTTGGAATGGAAAATTTTTACTTTCTTACGCACAATTCCTGCAGCCGTACACGGCGAGATGGGCAGATGCGGTCCTGGCTCTCGCACAAGCCTTACGGAACCTCCAGACAGACGGCGTCACGGTGACTCCTCAGCCTCTGGACTGTGCCTGTGATGGCGGGGAGTCACAGCCATGGGCAGACGGGCCAACGATGCTGCAGTATCTAAAAGAGGCAGGTGTTAGAATGTGGCATTTCTTCTCTGTAATCTTTTTTTTCAGCATAAAGCACATAAGTAGACTTTTTAATTTCTCACCTTCTTTGTATCAACTGACCTTTAGTCGAATAAAATTGTATCTATAATATATGTAGTTTGTCTGATACAAAGATAACTAAAACATTTTAGTAGCAACAGAGAATACTTACAGAGTTTTTAATTTAAAGCATACCACAATTCAAGTTAGATAAACTATACAGTTCTTGAAGGTTACTTAAATAAGTTTCCCCAATAGCTTTACGACTAAGGTAAAGAAGACGTAGAGTTAACATGAAGACACAAACTGATATTGGGACAAAATTGAAGCTTAATGCATCGAGCATCATTTACAATCATACATGTTCCTAATTCCTAACAGTAAACATGATGCATGGCCTGAGACGAGTAATGGTGTAATGTTTCAGGTGGAGACAGACGGAGTGACCGGTTATATCCGCTTTGACTCGACGGCGGCCCGATTGGACGCGGAGTATAATATCGTTAATTTGAAAAGCGATGGCTGGCATGAGGTAGTGATTTACTAGTTCTATTATATTTTTCATGAAAAAGTCACTGTTCATCACTAGCAGCTTGGTAATATTTAAGGTAGGTATGTTGCATGCGTGAGTATCCCGAAAATGTCCTCAATTTGCGGCCATACGACGATCTTGCGAGTATCGTAAGGCCTGCTTGATCGGGTTCTAAATGACAACACAAACTACGAGTAAGATCCACGTCTCACTAAATGTTGGGGTCATGGCGCATTCGTCGTGGGAGTGAGTAGGATAGGTACAATGTTGAACCTTATGAGGCTAGTTTACACTGTGAGTTTTATGGCAATAAATGGTACTTCCACAGGTCTTGCGCACTGCAAGCAAAGTGTCGTAAAATGAGCGATGTACCGTTTTTTGACCTCACGTTATGCAGATGACGCATGTTGCAGAAAGTTTGTAGTGCCCCCCCGTCTTTTGCATTACGTGACCTCATAACAGACTTCATTTTTAAAAACCAATTCTTGCATTGCAAATTACACTTCAAACTTTCCTCATAAAGTCCTAATCCTTGTGGTTAAAATACGGTTTAAACTTGGCTTCTTCCAACTTCCATTTCAAATTTGGTTCTTGTGTAATTGATCTCCCTCAGTTAATTATCTGTGTTATCCCAGGTCGGTAGTTGGAACCTGTCCACTGGGCTGAACATCCACTCCGATGCAGATATAAGATTCGCGGGTGGGGCGACTGAAGTCGCTCCGTATGTGTCCGACTTAAAGAACAAAACCCTGCGAGTTGTAACCATCGCAGCGGACGGCTTTGTGATGATTTCAAACACCGATGAAAACGGGAAGAACGTAACGGGAAACGACAGATTCACGGGTTAGTCCGTCTTACTCCTCTATTAAAATCTTAGGGCGGCAAAACTAACAAAAGTAGACAGGCAGACATTTTCTAATTTGTTTAAATGATTTAAACATACAATACTCATGACACAGCAAAAAGCCCCCTTCCCCCCAAAAAAAATTCTTAATAGCTTGTATTAAAAACTTAAGGAAAAAAAAGGACTGTGGGTGTTTTTCCACTGTGTCTCAATACTGAATTGGAGGTCATTGGCCCCAAAATAAACAAATTTAATCCATTTAAAGAAAGGACGTGAGAATGAGTAAAAGAAACGTGTTGTTTATGAAGCCAGTAAAACAATCTGTATGAGCAAATCTGTCGGATATAGGCCACGTGTTTTAAACAAGGCTCGGCCGTGCAGTTCGCGTAACTATACTA